CCTACAAAAACTCAAGTAAAGGTTCTGATAGCTGGATCTAAAGCCTGCCTCAGTTCCACAGGGACTTGATCTTCTCACTGATCCTGCTGGGGACTTTGCTCTGCCTGTCTCCAATACTCCGGAGCCACAGCTACCACCATCTAAGAATCTGGATCAGTTCAAATTTCAGGAAATGGTGATTTCTCTCTCTTCTCTCCTTCAAGGCAGGTTCAGAAGGCTACACCTAATCAGTTATGGTTTGCTAACGCTAATGTTTGTAATATTTAATATTGTAATAATTGTGTTTTATTTGTATGGACACTACTTAGAAATATAACTGTTAATCTGGGTGCTTTTCTGTCTTTTCCTCTCCCTGCCCCCCCCCCCGCTCCCCCAGCGGTGGTGTTTTGGCTTCCTTATTTACGAGTAAAGATCTCTGTATTGCCCAAAAATCCTGTGGGGTTTGCTCCTCAAGTAGGTTACTAGCAGAACAGTTGTGGTGCGAAAGCAGGGACAGGGAGGTGCTGAACCTGGGGTGGCAGCTTAAAGTGCTTTTTAACCCAGCTCATCTTAGTCCAAGGGCACATGAGGGTCACAGCTTCACATTGCTGTGCAACCCAGCCTACTGAGGACAGGGGCATATAAGGGGTCATCTTGTGAGTGCTGATTAAGTGGTCCTCTCAGATGTGTTAGTGGGTGTTCATTTGATTCTGGGGTGGGAAGAATAGGGTTCCTACAGAAGAGCGCCATTGAGAGGGAATTGGCAAAAGGGAGAAGTAAAGCGCCATATGAGAGCATAAGTAACACAAGGAACACACGGATAAAAAAAAATTATCCTCGTAAGAGTTAATCCTAATAAATGAGCATATATCCCAGAGTCATAGGTAAATCTGGTAACCTGATGCAATGGGCCTGGCCTGGGTGGAGCAACCCCTGCTGGCAGAGGTAGGGAGTGGGTGCCCAGTCCACCCCTCTTTAAATGGGTAACTTGGTAAACGTAACCTTTAACTGGTTAACTGATTAAGCAGGATTTTACATCCCTAGTACAGAAGTTATTTCCTCACCTATCCAATCTACAATTCAATGGCATTTAAAAGCTTACCTACTTTACAGTAAAAAGCAGCAGGCGGACCCCAGAGCTAGGGTTCCTCATGCACCCACACCATGCGGCCTTCCCCTTCGGGAAGGGAGGCTGGGGAAGTGCAGTGCCTCAACGACCCTGCAACCTGGACCAACTGTTACAATCCTGCTGTGGCCTCATCATGCAGTTTGTTACCACAGCAACATCCTTATTAAGTGACTCCTGGGCATGGTTAATTACCATGGTAATAAGGCAGTTTCTTGAAGCACACTTAGCTATACCAAGACTTTTGTTCCTCACGCAGCACAACATAGTTTACGCTTTGCCGCATTGCGTTTTGCTAGTGGAGAGTTGTGACATTTGAATCAAATAACAATTTGTCCTGGAATTTGTTTATGTATCAACGCAATGAACATATACAAAATGTATTTTGTAGCTTTGGGGATTCTGTTACAGTATGCCTTGCTTGAGTTGCCGAGCTGCCCAGAGAGTGCAGTAATATTTAGCTCTTTAGCCTTTTCCCTGTGCTTAACCCAAGATCAATTCTCAAAAGATAAGTGATTATTCTCATTTTAAAGACAAGGAAATGAAAGGGACTCACCCAGGTGATAGGAAATTGGGATCAGAAATGGGAATAGCATCACCTTCCTTGTCTAGTGCCCTGTCTACAGGGCCATGCCAACTCCCAAACAAGAGGAGCCTCAGCAGAAAATTTCTGCAGCTTTCTCTGGATATCATAGGTTAATTATAATAACTTTATAATTATGTCCTGTATGTAACAACTAGGTTTTTAAAAAAAGTTCTCCTTAATTTCTAATTGATCAAACTTGTGAAAAGAGACTTAATGTAAACTGATTCACATTTTCAGAGGATTAAAAAATACCCACTGAAGAATCAAATAATCAGAACACAGTGAAATCCACTCAAACTCCACTCTTAAGATATGCCCACATTACCAAAAAAAAAAAAAAAAATTTGTATCACCACAAGCAGACAACTTCATTAGAGAGCAGGAAAAGAATGGGCACAAAGAATTAGCCTCATGTCCCATAAGATAGTTCCACAATCCAGTTCCAGGTGAGTACAACTTCATCTATGGTTAGTGACTAACAGCATTACACCAAATGCCCACTCAGCCTCAACTTTTTTGGTAAGTTAACAAACCTAATGAAAGTTACAGTCATTTCTGGCATCTGATATAACACAACAGGACAGCCTCACAAGCAAGTGATAAAAGGGATACTCTAAAAACAAAAAGGCTTGTCTACAAAAAGTTGTGCTTGTTTACACTTAAAATATGCTATAGAATTACTGTAAAAAGCTGTGTGTTATTCCTATTTCATTTGAGTGATCTATTTTGGTTTAGATCAAGTCAATGTGAAACAGGTTTAAGAAATCCCAACACATTCACATAGAAGTTTTCATTTGTTAGACTAGAGTGATTTTAATAAAACCCGTTGAAGTTTGGGGTAGAGAATGCCTACCTACATAATGATCCGTGATAAGTTGAGGGAAGCTGGTCAGTGAGGTTTTACAGAGGTCAGGTCTCAGATATAGCGAACGAGCTGATGGGCAGGATACAGAGTATGCCAAATTCTATGCATGTATCTGTGAGATTGTCTTGTTGAGCAAGATTTAAAATCTTTAAACCAGAGCAATTGATTGAAATTAATGAAATTTTAAAAAAAATACAGTAAACTTTCACATGTGAAAAAAATTAACTATATTAGAATGGAATGGGAAATTATCTAGATGCCAGCTTATTTTGGCACTAGTTAGTGCCTTAACTGCAGTATTTGAATGGTTTTTATACTCCAAATTTGGAAGAGAAATTAATGAGAATTCAGAGAGAGCAACAACACTAACAACATGGGAATAGAATCTAAAGCAAGCTTACATATGGAAGACAACTCTTTACAAATATAAAAAGGGATGTTAAAATGGCTAGGGATCATTCATTCTTAGTCATCCAAATCAAATTGTTATGGGTATCAGCAAGAAACACAAATAGAATTGGCAGTTTGTTATACCCAGAGAGATTGCAGAATCACCATCACTGGGAAGAAGACTGAATTAGACACATCTGTTAAGATATGGTTTAAGAATTCAAATCTAGCCTTTGAGGATACAAGAGGGGATTTCCCCTCCCCCCTCTCAAATCCAAATGATTGATCATTCCTCCTCAAAATAGAGCAATGTCACACAGGGAACAGCACAAAACTTAGCAAGAACCAGCTACTCCAATTTACTCCTGGCAAATATTCTCCCTCCATCAAGAAACAATGGTATTTTTGCTGTACTAATCAGTGGCAAATGTTAACAACAATGCTATTTCAATGGCTATTGGGCTTCAAAATAAACATCTCAGAGCTAAACAGGAATAAATTATTCCTTTCAGAGAAATTGTTTAGGAACGTTTGCAGACAAATGAAGACAACATTGCATCATTTTAAAGCCAGTTCATACTTGGAAGGCTATCCTTCCATCCATAAGAGGTCTAAGACGACCTTTAGCTATAGTTCAGCTTTAGTTTCTGTAGTCAGAGAATACATTGAGCCCCACACAATACAAATGACTATTTAGGACTCTGGTATCTTATATTTAACGTTTACACACATTAAACAACTTATTGCTAGCTTCTTGTATGTTGCCCTCAGATAGATTAACGCATCTGCCTTCCTGAGTATCATTCTCTTCTTTCATTGCCAAGTCTTCGTTAATGAGTTATGTATGGATGGTTGAAGTGACCAAGCACCATGAGAAGAGTTAACACTTCTGGGGAGATTGGGAGAGGGGGGTACACACCACACGCAGAGCTCTGGCAGCTATCCACTATGGGAACAATTAAGCTGTTGGATAAATGTGGTGAAAAAGATACAGAGCATCAAAGACACTGTATTTCAGTCCTCTGACTGGCTGCCTGATTGTAAATATAATCTAGGGGTTTGAATTGCTTGCAATGGAACAGATATGAGTCAATTAAAGTAACTTTCACTCAGACTTGTTTCACATACAGCATAATTCAGTCAAGAGAGCACAGGAATGAGAATCAGGAGGTTCTGGGTTCAATTCCCAGTGCTGCAGCTAGTTTGCTGTTCAACCTAGGGCTAGCCTCTTAATTAGGATTCTCTCAGGTTGATGTGAAAAGTTTTTTGAAAATCAAGCCACATATTTGGATGCCCAAAGTGCTGAGTACCCAATAGCTATCATTGACTTCAACAGGGCTTCCTGTATGCTCACAACGTTTGAAAAACAGATTACTTAGTTTATATATCTAATGACTGGCTTAGGAGCTTACCTTTAGGCACCCCCTTAAAAAAAAAAAGCACTGTCTTCACTTATACAGTGGGAATAATACTTACCCATCCATCTCTGTAAAAGCTCTGAGGCAAAACATATTTTGCCTATAACTGAAGCAGTTTCAGATCTCCAATTTTCAGTCGAGTGAAATAAAAATCCAAGTTTTATTTTGTTATTTAATTATGAATGTTGATTCAAAGTAGGTATGGAAGCAAGCATCTACAAACTGACAAAGTGTCTCACGCTCATAATTTCTGAGCCACCACTTTTAGGAGTGCCAACTATAATGTACACTGAAAATACATTAATTTACAGGCTCTTTCACACACATGCAGAATTCCCTTACACAATTTGTTGTTGCTTTTTGATAAAGAAAATGTAAACACTATGCTTCACCTCAATCATTTTATCCACTTTAAATGGCATCTTATCAACATTCATACCTACTTGGCAAAAGAGAGAACAAAGATTTGTTTTAACAAGCAAAGAGGTTTCAAATGGCAAATTATTATACCAGCATAAATGGCTCAATGTTAAAATAATTATCCTTTTTAATTATAAAACAGAAGAAACTGCTTCTTCACAATTTTAGAACACATCAATACATTTTGCTCGTGAGAACAAAATTTACAGTCATAAGTTGCACATAAAGGGTTTATTTTAAATGTTTTAAGGATAGAGTTACATCATAATTATAAAAATTACTTACAGAATTAAGTAACAGATTTAAAGTGTTTATACTTCTAAATGCAGAGAACAGGGAACTGTCTACATTGTTCAAAATAAAATAAAAATAATGAAACCAAGCTCTAAAGATGAAGTCATTACCCAATTTTAAAATGTGAACACGAAGACCTTTGAACTATACACATACCAAGAACCATCCAAATTGCACTAATGATGTAAAATACAAAAAGCACAGCATTTTAAAGGAACCAGAAACTGTTTTAGCTATAATTCTTCTTCCCTGAATTGATTGTAATTGCTGCTGTACTCAGAGAAACCTTCAGTTTTAAAATGAATCAATTTTAAAAGGCTTTTATGTATTGCAATTTATGAAGTTTAAAGGGGATTTTCCCTTTCTGTAGTCTACCTCTGACTTAATTTAGGGTTTGGCACTCAAAAGAAAGGAAAAAAAAAGGTGTGTAGTGTTTTTAGATTTATCAGTGATTTTATTTACTAGTGAACAGAATACATGGTCCCTTCAAATGCTGTGACAGATACAACCGGAAAATTACCTTCCGTTGGCACTATGCTCGCCTCACCGGTGCATTTAGTCCTACTAACAACCATTAAAACAGCACAATAAGCAAATTCACAAAAACTGAACACAAAATAAAACAAACAAAAACAAAAAACCTAAACATTTTAACATGCAACTTTAGTTTGTTACATTGAACGTTCTACCTTCTAAGCATGCAAAAAAGGATGGTCTGCATTTAAGATTTTTTTTTCCTTTTTAAAATTTTACATGGCAGCCTGACATCATACACACACACACACGCACACAATATACAACAATACTACAGCAGGTAAATGAGAAAGGCCAATAACTTTTATACACAGATCCTGGCTTGTGCTGTCACAAGCCCCATGATAATTTTGGAAAGTAATGTTGAACCCCTAGAACAAGGAACCAACATTTAGTTACCAGGGTAACGCAAGCACTGCATGCAGATCTGAAACATGAGCCTAAAACAAAGCCCAAAGCAGAAGGGCAGGGAGTGGAATTAGTCTCAAGCCTCAAAAAAGGTGGTTTAAGCTAACCAAAAAACCAGAAACAAAAACGAAAAATAACAAACCAAACAGACAATAGGGGACACTTAAAAAGTCATAAAAGTTTACAGATTATACTCCACTAATTGGCAGATTATGTGGTATATTAAATTGGCTTGCAGAAAACCCACAAATGCAAGCCTTTAATGCTAAAAATGTTTCAGTAGACCTAAACCTCAAATATTTCAAAACAAACTTTGTTTTCCTCAGATGTATAGCCCAAAATTCACTGTACTACGTTATGCACGTATCCTGTGTATAGTCAATACACTCACTCATTCTTGTGCCACAAATATCAACTTGGGCTCATGGAGCCAGGCTCAGCTTTGAGATTTACATGCAGGACTCTTAAGAGTCAATAGAAAACACATAACAGATCTGCAGGATGAAAACACTGTGTTGCAAATCTGCTCACTTTGTTCAAAAACACAAGGAACATTTATGATTCAGGTACTTAGTACTTAAGGACTGCATTGAGAAGCTATTCACTGAAAGACAATAGCCTGCCTTTGGTTGCCCATGATGAAATACTGGACATAATGCAATAGTAGCAATGGACAAAGAATTAAGGTACTGTATTTATATGATGAGTATTTGTTACCATTCAACAGCATAATGAGGCACAAGCCTTAAGGCTAAAATATGAAATCAGGCAAAAATGGATAGAAAAGGGCTTAAATCACTGAACCTCCAATATCAGTAACACCCATACTAGAGGTTATCTGGCCCTCAGATCAGATTAACAGCACCTCTTTTTCTAGCCTTCTAACAGCGTAAGGTTGGGTATCTGGGTATTCTTTCTCTGAACAGTGAACAATGGCGTCACATTCTAGCCTTCTGTGAAGCACTGCTTTCAAACTTGCAAAGCTCTGCCTTAATGTGACGTGAAAACTTCGCTGCTGAACTGACCGTTTTTGCAATTCTGAGGACTTTTAAAAACTGCCACATTTTAGAAATTCTTGGTTTACAACTATCTTGCAAGATTAAAACTGTGAAAGGATTCTGCTGCTGTGGGCTGCTATTTACATCCACAATCTAATGCAGATGACCGAACCACTGAGGCTGCCTAGCTTTCATTAGTTAGTACACCACTGGCATGCAGAATTCTAGTGTTCATTGAATGAAATTCACATAACAGCATACCTCAAAGCAAGTACAACGTACACCACAAAAGGCGACAACAGGTTTAAGCTGTAGATGATTTGTCCGGACACTCGTAGAAAAGCCAGAAAGAAGAGCCAAGAAAGATGCTTTCTTTAGGGGAGGGGTGGAGGAGGGAAAGGAATGCAGCAGACTGAGCAGAAGGCAACAAATGCTTCTCCTTCTCCAAGTAAGTCTTTAATGTAAGAAGACTGTTCTTTCATGAGGTTTTTGTCTTTACATGTAACAGATAAACTACTATTAGGCTTTTAAGTCCACACAAGCATCCAGGTCGCTAGTTTTGATACCAAATGAGAGACTACTGATTGCCAATGTGTAGTCTAAAGATCTTTCTGAAGTAACATATATTATGACTGTTGTGGCACCAAGCACTTGGGTTTGTTAAGAAGTGTGTATAACAAAAATGCAACATTTAGAATTGAAGGCAGTCTTGTGTGTAGATTTACTGGTTCCTACAACTTGTAAATGTGGGCCACTAATCTGCATTTTCTAATCAATAGTTTATTGATTAAACCTTTTATAGTTTAAAGCCTTTTCACTGAAAGGTGCAAGTCAAACACTCGATGTTGTACTGTCTTGTGTCTACTAAGAGGCACAAATATCCCCATGTACTGCTATTTCTTAACAAGTTACTTTGAAATAAGGTGTAGAAACACAGTAGATTGATTTTACTTGGGTTAGGCACTCCTTAACACTGCACAAACCAACAATTTAATTTATTTTGTAATCTCAGCCCCAACCCTGAAAACAAGGACTGCCAGTAGCCAAGAAATTAAATTTAATGTTACATAAGAAGGCAATATTGAAATATCAAACTACACTTGCATGTGGCAGTTGAACAGGTGAGTGTGAGGTTGAAGAAAGTTAGTCTATGAAAAAAAATTTAGATTAATGATTACAATACTAGATTAACTTTACACAGCTTGAATTTGCAGCTGTTTACTTTAACTCCCTCTCCCCAAAAATATAGAGACTTCCTTCAAGAAAAGGAGTTCTCTTACACAAAATGTGTCATGTTCACACACATTGTTTGTATTATTCAGAACAAAACAGTTTTGCTGGCAGAGATTGTGGGTTCGCAGGGACATTTAAGCTTTCATTAAACTGGAAAGCATCAAGTCTTTGTGTCTACAAATTTTACATTTAATAGTTCCACAAGTTTGGCAAAAGTTCACAATGATGTCTAGGATGTTTTCACCAAATCGTAGACATAAATATGGAAATCGTCATCAAACTTGATGAAATAGACAGAAGGTTTGGCTTCAACTTGGTGAATGACCATGCCAGTCCTTTTAGAGCCATCTTCTTTGGCATATTCCACTTGTTTGCCTACCAGGCTGTCCACAACTTCACCTGGTTCCCGTTCTGCTGGAGGAGAATCATCTGAAACACAAAAATATGATGTTTACTTTTGAGTTTAAAGATTTTCAATCCACATAACTGCAAAGATGACTTCAGAATATCTAAATATATCAGAAATGAATGGTGAGAATTACAGTTTTTGAGAAGAACATTTTAAAAGTTGTAATAGGTTCAGTCAAACTGAGTTTACATCTTTCACAGTTTACAACTGCAGGGGAAAATGTAGTTAGGTAACACTGTAACCGGTATTTTAAGAAACTGAAATCCTATACTAGCCTTATGGCATCTATTTGCTCCTATGTAGTCATATACACCTAAAGCAAAGTAACAAATGAAAAAGTTTTACATGTGTGGTCTTTGTCTATAATACACTGCAGGTTATGTATGCACACTGTGTGTAGAGCCAGAGATTTTAAAAGTAATGTCTGTGCACACACCCTGGCTCACCTCTCCAGTTGCTTCTCTACCACAAATCAGATAAGATCAAAAGCAGAGGGGAAGGACAGTGGGCAGTGGAATACAGATAGCAATCACACATCTAGAAGAACCACCATTAACAGTTATGTCACTTCCTCTTCCAATCTGAGTGAAGGTCCCTGTTGTAGTCCACTGTAGGTGATGACAAATATCACCTAAACAGGAAGAGAATATGACTATGTGAATGGTAGATCTGCGCAGACTACTGCTGTCCTACAGAAGGCATTAGCAGAACAATCCTGCACCACGGCATAAATGTCTTGCAAATGTGTGAATGGAACGCCAAGCATCTGCTTTACAAATGTCCAGGAGGGTACGCACTGAAGAGATGCTACTGTTGTTGCTTGTTCGCTGGTGGAATGATCTCTTAGCTGAAAGGTAAGGTGTTTGAGACCTGAGAGAAGAATGTCTTTTTGTCCATTCTCTGGATTGAGATGGCCTGCTGCCTTCCAACTTTTGTTTTTACAGAGACGTACAGTCACAAGGACTTTCTGATTGGCTTTGTTCTATGCAGGTAGCAAGCTAAGACTCATTGAACATACAGGGAATGGAATCTCTGTACTTGTACAGAAGCATGTGGTTTGAGGAAGAACACAGGTAAGTGAACGGATTGCTTAAGACTGAACTCCAAAACTACTTAGGGATGAATTTGGGATGTAGTGTTCCCCTGGATTTGAGGGGTATGTATATGACAAAATGTAATCAAGTTAGTAGTTGCAACAATCTTACACTCATTCAGCCTCCCTAAAATCACCACAGTTAAGGGTTAATTTGAAGACAGGCTTTCAAAAGGAAAGTCATATCTAGCTAGCAGTTTCTGCTAATCAGAATGGAAGAAGGAGATAAACAATTAATACTAAAAACCTTAGTGATTAAAACTTTAAGTCTAAATGAATCCTATATTACAAGGTTATCAAAAGTTTAAAAAAATAATAATTTAGTAGGGGTCATTATAACCTATGTGTTTCGTAAAAGTTAAATATAAAAAAATTGTTGTTAAAATATACTCTAAAACAGTCCTCTAAGACAACCTTCACTTTTCCTGACACCATTCTCCCTGGAATGTGAGCAACTGGCAACTGCAAACCTGCTGTTAATTACTCAATGCCATTCCAAATGGTAGGTAATTATCTGGAATGGTGTAAACCTATTGCTTATGTTTGTGTGTAGTTTTAAAGAAAGCATGGTTTCTTGCATTAATCTTATCAGATCGATAGGCTGTGCTCCTATTCATTTATTCCTTATACCATGTAAACTGAAATAGTTGACCCTGTTGGAGATTCTGAAAATAGCATGTGACAGCAGATGTAGCTACATCTAATCCTTACGGAATATGGTGTATGCAGGGTCGGCAATCTTTGCTTCAAATATGCCACTCTTCTCGCTGTTGTGAAGGCTACAAGAAAGGACATTCATGGAAAAGAAGGACATGGGGCAAGAAGCTAAAAACCTCAAAGGGACCCGGATATCTCGTTAAAAGTGAGAATAAGTTTCAGGTTCCACTGCAGTGCAAGCTTCTGAGTAGGTAAGAAGGTTCTTACTAAGCCCTTCCAGAATCTATTGATCAGCTGGTGTGCAAAATCGAAACAGCCTTGAGAGGTGAATTGCAGGCACTGATTGCTGCCAACTGGACTCAAAGGAGCTGATGCACAAAGTCATGACTCCCTGTACATGACAACAGCAGTTGCCTTTATTCAAGAGGAGGCATCAGTGGCACTGACTGGGGATTAAAAGTTGGTCCTGGTTATCAGTTTGCGTTCATCTATCAGAGCTTGGAAGTGAGCCCTGTCAATGAACTTTGCAAGTTTGCTATAATTCAGGAAATCGCAGTTAGCCAGCAACACCTGGTAATTGACTATCCTGAATTGGTTGCTAAAAGATGAGAAGAACTATATATTAAGTAGTTCCAGGTGTTTATTCTTCTTGCACACTGTTGTCTGGTCCTTTCAGAGATGGTATGGACCAACAGTGAATTAGAAGCTGGGTGAGACAAACATTTTGCATCCTTAGTTGGAACATAGTAACGCTTCTCACACTTTGAGGGTAGGAGCACAGGCAGCAGAGGTAGCCAAACTGTATTAGTTGACTCCAGTACAGTTCTGTTAACAGGCAGAGCTATAACCTTGGATCCAGAGAGGTGCAGCATGATTAAAAGTATGCCCTGGGAGTCCTGAATTTCCAGAAGGGGAATATGAAGAGCTCCAAACACTGCAGAAGTGGGCATGGAATTGTCTTAAGTAATTGGATGGTGTGTGCACATGGTGACTTGGAGATCTAAAAGTCACCACTTCATCCGGGGATGATGATGGCAGTCTTGCCGGTTCTGATGGATCTGACATGTTGCATTCTTCCCCCTCTGTCAGATCCAAAGATAGATCTGAGCAAATAAGTGCTAGAACTACAGGTCAAGGGGGTGCTGCTGCACCTGCTGGCTTGAAGTGATTTCCATCATGTACAGGTTATTTTAATGCTCTCAGCAACCCCACTATACAAATTGTTCTTCCAGCTCTGATAAAAGCATTCTATTAGAAGGGAGGAAGAGGTGACACTGGTCCCAAAGCCACTGTGAGGGGTCACATTATGGTCACTGTGAGGGGTCAGTAAGTGATCACATTGGCCCCAATTGTATGGGGGTACCAACAGCTCCAACTCAGAGATGGAGGTTGTTCTTGAACTTGTGCAAGTTTATTGGGGAGTTGAGGATAAGTATGGCAAGCAAAGAACAGATCATCAAATGGCTCCTAATCTTCTGAGTATGCGGCCAATTCTTGTTCCTGTGATGGTACCATTGGTGATGTTGGAGGAGAAATGTATTCTGCATCTGGTGGGGGTTGATAAGCTCTATCCTGCAGTGGGTTCTCTCAGAGGAGACAGATCTCCCTGAAAATTGAGGGTAGGGGAGTAGGGTAGGGGATTCTGGATCCATGCAAGTGAGGATATCATGGGGGTTGAAACAGATTCAGGCATTCTGATGAGAGGGACTCTGCTTGTAAGGACCATCCAAGCTAGCGAGGAGGGTGGTATCTTGCAGTGACTGGGCTTTAACATTACCATCTGTTTGTGAACACCTGGGAATGATGGACAACAGGACATGATCTGGGACCGATGGATCCCAATGCTTTTCTTTTAGTGCTTCTGTCCTAAGTCCTTATGGGCTAAGCTGGTAGGTTTTCTTACAATTACATATGGCTTCTTTGAAGTGAGTTTTTTTTTACAGTCTCATGCTTATGAGAATGCTTCCTAATTTATTGAAAAGACCTCAGCAGAGGATCTATGAGAGTAGTCTCTTTCCCACATCAGACTTGACAGCAGGATATGTACTTCTTGTTGAATCAAACCAATGAACAGGTAGGATTCCCCAGCCGGGGTCTGATTAGAGCCTCATGACATTCTACCGGCAGAGATGAAGCTCCTACTTTTTCAGGTAGGACTGGGGAATGATTGGCATATACTACACCTTACCACCATAAGCTTCCTCAAGGCAGTGCAGATAATGGTGGTGGTCTTTAATGATAAGGAGGATTGTGGGCAGGAAGCACAGAGTTTGAAGCCCTGTGTCCTGGGCACTATTTAGTACTTAAATGAGGTACAGGGGTTATCCTCACCCCCCCTTAAACTAATGCTAACATTGTTAGAACTGATAACAAATGTTACAACAAAGAAACTAGTGTGATTTTGTGGGTCTTTATGCTAAACTTAACATAACATTTATTTGACTTAGCTTCCTTTGGCAGAGAGACCGGCTTACAAAAAAGAAAACTGGTGAAGTCTGATTCAGAAGGAATTCTGAAACTACGTTTAGGAAAGATTTCTTGCTAGGACAAAAAAAATATTTTGTTCATGGAACACAATAATAAAAGGTCAGCCATAAAAGTTCAGTTAGTCTCCTTGCAGATGTAATAGAAAAGTTGTCTCATGGACAGGTATTAAAACCTTCCAAAGCTTTTAATGGAAATAAAAATCAATTTACGTGCTAAGTTTCAAGTCTACACAGAAAATCTTGCCAGTTTTTAAAATCATACTTAAAAATTAGGTCCCGAATCACTGAACTTCTGTATCCAGAGCACAATTCAAGCCACTAACTGAAATGTTTCCAGATGCAGGGAAGACTGACTGTTCCAGATATTATCTAGAAACACAGTGACAAGTATGAGAGACTCCAGCAACAAGTCCAGGAGTTCATAGTACCAGAACTGATTAACCAAATCTATAACTATAACCTTGTCCCCTTATCTATAGGACTGGAGCAGGGAGGGAGAAGAGAAGGAAAAAATATAAAATGATGGTTCCAGTCCAATAGAGTGACATTTGTCAGACCTGGGAATCTTTCCTCTCCTTAAAGATAAAAAAAGGGCACTGGCATTTTAAATTGCTTTTGGTAAAAAAAACAGATGTATTGATTCATAACCCCATTTCTGAAATAGATCTCATACCATTGACTCCTTTAGGAGAATATACAACTACAGTTTCTATCCTCTGTGATTCATGTTGCTTGCATGGTGTTCAAGTATGACAATACTGGTGTGATACTGTCTGCTAATAAGTGTACCATGTAGTCCTCCATATGAAGTGAGACTTAAGAACCCAATGAATAGCTTCCAGCTCTAATCTTTATGAAAAGCTTCACCTATCGAGGACCCCAACTAAATGAACAACCAACTCATTATAAAGCCAAAGCTCTGTCACAATCCATTCAGCTAGAGAGAAGAGTATAGAGCTCCACTCAATTTTTTTTTCTTTTTGAAAGGGGGTTTCCTATTTGTTTTCTATATTTCCAGTTCAATATTTTCTACACTTGAAGACATTGTGACTAGCTGGAGATCTGCTATCAATATATCTGCACAAGGACCAAGTAATCAAGTTGGGATACATGAATCTATAGATCTTGCATGTAAATATCTCACAATATTGGCTACCACTGTGCCTGTGAATGCCACTTCTTGTTTACAGTGAGACGTGGACAACATTATCTCTGCAAATGTAACCGGACTTGTTTGTCTGAGTGACTGACAGAACATGAAGGAGAACTGTGTGGACTTGTAGGCTCTGAATTTTTTTGGGGGGTAATATAACTCTGCACCATTAAATTCAACTTTTGTAATGAAGAGACTGGGGGGGGTAACATAACTCTGCACAATTAAATTCAACTTTTGTAATGAAGAGACTGCATCACAGTACTTGTATTGTATGAACTGAAAATACTATTCCTTTCATTGTGATAGTGCGTATATTTATAATAGAAAATATAATGACCATAATACACTTTATATTCTGTATTGTAATTGAAGTGAGTGTTATACACTTTATATTCTGTATTGTAATTCAAGTGAGTGTGAGTGTGAGAGAGAGAGAGAGAAAAGTGAGTGTGCGTGTGAGAGAGAGAGAGAAAAATGTGGAAAACATCAAAAAATATTTACATAAATGGCCTTATATCAACAGCACACTCAATCATGATTCGTTTTTTAAGTGCTAGACAGTCCTAATTAAGTTCACATGAATCTTCTGCAGTTTGTCAGCTCTTTCATTTCAATAACAAATAAACAAATAAACCCAATGTCCATGGGAAGTGAGATGTTTTGTAGTTTAGAAGAAAAAAAACATACTGATGTACGTACTGGAATCAGGCATAATGCGGAGATCACCTTCTTTATAGTCATCTAAGAGCTGATACATGTACAAGACAGGATCCTTCTCATAGGTAATATAAAACCATGTGTTCATTATAGGAGCTCGAGCCAACACCATCCCCCTCCACTCATCTTTTGAGCCATCTTCTGTTTCAAACATATGTTCCACAGCTTTGCCAATCATTGTATCTGCAAGGTGGGCATCACTGATTCGAGATGAAGCTGAAATACGTACACAATATTTCATAAAGTTCAGGACCATTTCAGAAGCATGCATACTGCACCTTTCAAACAAATCATAAAAAAGGTTTCATTCAAATTGTTTCTATTCTCTGGGTGTATCCAGACTACAAATATTAAATAAGAGCTTGTCTACAATGTCATTTAAAATAGCTATTTCTGATTAAATCCCATGTGTAGACATTAAGGATGTTAGATAACTGTCAGGTAACTGAATAATCGTGTACACTCATGAAATCTTAGCTGTTTACATGACTATTCAATAGACCCTGGGGAGCCCCCTGCCACCGCACGCGGCTGCCTTTATAGGAGCCAGTCCATGAGATGAGCCAATTTAAAAAGGGCTGGCAGCAGCCCCTGTCCGTGAGAGGGAGTGCGGGGTGAGTCTGAGCTCCCCATGGACAGAGGCTGTTCTGTAGGAAGCAGAGCAGCCTCCGTCCACAGGGCACTCGGGCCCACCATGGGCAGAAACTGTTCCACAGCAATCTCCCCTTTCCCTCACCCTGGCTATTGCCTCTGATAGAGGCAGCAGTGCTGGAGAGGAGGGGAGCCAGGCGGCACCGTGGAACCAGTGCTGGGGAGAATCAGCTTCTAAAGCCAGCTCCCCCCAGCACTGGCTCCTGCTCCCTTCCCCCTGCTGACTGCATCAGCAACAGCAAAGGGCGGGGGAGAAATGCATGTAGTCGACAAGGTTAATCAATAAGCCTGGGCTTATCAGTTAATTGCATGGTCAAGTACACGTTGACATCCCTAGTGAACACATTTATTCTGGAACAAGAGCATCCACATATGGAGCTAATCAGAAAATTAATCCACTTTAAACTCACAACCTAGTGTATTCCAATACAAGCCATACCTCCAGTCTAGAAAATAATAGAATCACTAAAAGACTTATTGTGGGTTACAGAGAAGATACCACATCATCTTCATTTCTATTAAAAATAAACTTTTATGACCAGCCCTCCCACATTTGCTAAAATAGCATTTAGGGGTTTTGTCACTGAATTTTTTCCTCTTGAAACACTGCCAATTTATTTCAGCCAATAAAAAAAGCTGACCCCATTTGAGAGTGAGTGACAAATGGCATGAATTCTGAACAGTGATAAGTGTTTTAGACAGCTGACTGAAGAATTGATAACAAAACACATGAATTCAATTATTTCATTTTAAAAGAACTTTCACTTTATTTTTATTGCTTCTCGGGAAAGGCATACGAGAAAAATTTAATACAGAACCATAAAATACGGAGCACAGCAAAGAAAATTTTCATGAAATTGAACTGTAAAATGTGATCTCTCACTCAGCATCAACAACAGAAATATTAATCTAAGCACTATATAAGCTTTTTAGAGAGAAACCTTGGCGGTGACAATGGTTGATCAATATTATATAATTTATAAGCATTCTAATTAGATAATTATACTAATTAATGTCTATTGCACTCCATCTGATATCAAAGAAGTTGTTTAATTTGAGTGCAGAATTCCCTCCTTGTTCCAAAATAAGGAAAATATTTCCTAATAAAAGTCCACAGATGTGACAAAATACAATATAGCAGCTCCATCCAGCGTCCTGTCCAGAGCTTGCAATATATATGAATATGCAATCAAAAGAGTACTTACCAACTCTGTCTGGAAGGACTTCAAGCGCTGATACTCTCTCATCTTTGTGCAGTTCTAGTCCATAGACACAATCAAATCCATCATATTTAATAAGGTAGAGAGAAGGATTTACTGGAACCTGATCAAGAACTGTCCCTTTCCATTGTGTTACAGGTCCACTCCCTTCTTTCCATCCATGCTGTATTCTGCACCCTACAATATTTCTTCGGGGCTGAGAAATGGGTTTACTAGGTCCCACGTTGTTTCGATGCTTTCTGTATATAGATACAAACAGGTTTACTCTAGTGTACAGAAACATGTTTTATTGTATTTATAAGCCAATTAATTAAATCTTTTTGTTTTAATACGCAAGTACTCCAAATTTCTCAATATCCTTATGTTCATTTAACCATTCTAGACAAGTTTTAATGCATCTTGTATTTTAGTGCATCCTCTTTCTACTACATTTTGTATTATAGTGCATGCATCTTCTTTGCCTTAAATTATTTAGGAAACACATTACCGTAATGCTGAAAAGAAAAATAATGTCTCTGTGATCTCTTGCTAATAATTTGAAACAGAGATGATCAAACTTTCGCCCTATCACTTTTTCAGCAAAAATTGTACTTTTATCCAATTAAAAGTGTTTCAGAGGAATATATACATTTTAACAAAATTAACAAGAAAAATTCAGAAGTTGCATTTCAATAGTGTGGGTTCAAATAATTTTGTTTCTACTGTAATATTCAAACTTTAATTTATATTCTATATCACACATGCATAGGATGGTTTAGGTATACTTGGTCTGCCTGAGCTCCAGGTCTGGAAGAACAGTAAGTGGATCTGAACCAACGGGGCTCCTGGATCAGACACTCAGATTAGGTAGGTTTCAAGTGTACGCACAAGGCTGTCGGATTAAGATCAAGTCATGACTGTTTTTCTCATGATAAAATAATTTCAGTCTAGTTTTGGAATAAATATTATTTACTGCTAACTTCATTTAACCTCATGCAAATACCTACACAGTATCAATTCCTTCAATTATTAGAAACTGAATGTCACACAAACAACCTATATCATTCTCAGAAGAAAGTTGGCAACAGAATTTCTCAGCAGTAGCAAGTGGCCTCTCAGAAAGATTACTTACTTTGCAATAACTGAAGCTCAACATGCATGGTCCTTAATGGTATTCTTGCCAACCATGCCCCTGAGACTGGAAGACTTGTCAGAAGCATGGTCCATTGATCTGTGCCTGCAACCTATACTGTCTTGTTCTCTGAATCTAGGACATTAAGGGGTGATGCAGCTCAATCACCTCTCCTATTATTTCCTCTGTATCAAGAGATGATCTGAGGGTGGAGTCTGTAAGACACGTAACTTTACTTTCTTTGTGTGCGCGCCCCCATCCACCTCCGGGTAATTCACTGTAGTTGACTCTCTAGAACAACTCACACAAACATAAGAACGGCCATACTGGGTCAGACCAAAGGTCCATGTAGCCCAGTATCCTGTATGCTGACAGTAGCCAATGCCAGATGCCCCAGAGGGAGTGAACACAACAGGTAATCATCACTTGATCCCTCTCCCGTCATCTATTTCCAGACATATCCATTTCCTTCATTTGATACCAATATTTAAAAAGGGCTATAGAGGCGATCCTGGCAATTACAAACCGGTAAGTCTAACTTCAGAACCGGGCAAATTAGTCGAAACAATAGTAAAGAATAAAATTGTGAAGCGTGTAGAAGAACATAATTTGTTGGACAAAAGTCAACATGGTTTCTGTAAAGGGAAATCCTGTCTTACTAATCTATTAGAATTCTTTGAAGGGGTTAACAAACATGCGGATAAGGGGGATCCAGTAGATATAGTATACTTGGATTTTCAGAAAGCCTTTGACAAGGTCCCTCACCAAAGGCTCTTGTGTAAATTACATGGCCATGGGATAAGAGGGAAGGTCCTTTCTTGGATTGAGAACTGGTTAAAGGCCAGGAAACATAGGGTAGGAATAAATGGTGAATTTTCAGATTGGAGAGGGGTAACTAGTGGTGTCCCTCAAGGGTCAGTCCTGGCACCAATCCTTTTCAACTTATTCATAAATGATCTGGAGAAAGGGGTAAGCAGTGAGGTAGTAAAGTTTGCAGATGATACAAAACTGTTTAGGAAAACTGTGTATACAAAACTGTGAGGGACTCCAAGAAGATCTCACCAAACTGAGTGATTGGGCAACAAAATGACAAATAAATTTAATGTGGATAAGTGTAAAGTAATGCACATCGGGAAAAATAACCCCAACCATACGTACAGTATAATGGGGGCTAATTTGGCTACGACATATCAGGAAAGAGATCTTGGAGTTATTGTGGACGGTTCTCTGAAAACTTCCACACAGTGTGCAGCAGCGGTCAAAAAGGCAAATAGGATGCTAGGAATTATTAGGAAAGGGATAGAAAATAAGACCCAGAATATCTTACTGCCCCTGTATAAAACTATGGTACGCCCACATCTTGAATACTGTGTACAGATGTGGTCTCCTCACCTCAAAAAAGATATTTTGGCCTTGGAAAGGGTTCAGAAAAGGGCAACTAAAATGATTAGGGGTTTGGAACGGGTCCCATATGAGGAGAGGGTAAAGCGACTGGGACTTTTCAGTTTAGAAAAGAGGAGACTGAGGGGGGATATGATAGAGGTCTATTAAATCATGAGTGGTGTGGAGAGGGCCGATAAAGAAAAGTTATTTATTAAGTTCCCTAAATAGAAGAACTAAGGACACCAAATGAAATTAATGGGTAGCAGGTTTAAAACGAATAAAAGAAAGTTCTTCTTCACACAGCGTGTAGTCAACCTGTGGAACTCCTTGCCAGAGGAGTCTGTGAAGGCTAGGACTATAATAGAGTTTAAAGAGAAGCTAGATAATTTCATGGAGGTTAGGTCCATAAAAGGCTATTAGCCAGGGGATAAAATGGTGTCCTTCGCCTCTGTTTGTCAGAGGCTGGAGAGAGATGGCAGGAGACAAATTGCTTGATCATTATCTTCGGTCCACCCTCTCTGGGGCACCTGGTGCTGGCCACTGTCGGCAGACAGGATACTGGGCTAGAAGGACCTTTGGTCTGACCCAGTACGGCCGTTCTTATGTTCTTCACTAACTAGAGGAGGTTCAAGAAAATGTGCGCCATAAATCACATGACAGAAGTAGGTTTCTGAAGCTGAAGCTTGAGCAAAGGCATGATTTCCAACAAAAAAAATTGGATACGAGTCTGTAGATGCTAATCTATAGACTTTTGAAGTGAATTCTTTCCAGGAAACGCACGTGAAGTAGACTGTCCTGATATTCTTTAGAGAAGAGCTTTCATAATCCTCTGGCCTAGAATGATGCCGTCTCTAAACATCCATTTACAGAGTTTTTGCAAAAAGACTGCTTTTCATTTCATTCTCTCAGTGATGGAAAGAATAGGCTCATCAATTCCCTAAAACATTTATCCTTTGTGAGTAGGCTAGAATACTGCAAACGTACTTGTCCATTGTGAGGTTTGCGAAGAAAAATAAGCAAGTTTGATTCACGTAAAATTCACAGGGAACCTTTGGATAAACCTGTGATGCAACCTCAAGGACAATGTGTCTCTGAGAAACACTTTGTAAGAAGGTGTCTGCCATGTTGTGTCTGCTTGAATGGTGGGCTGAGAGAACCAGGTTCAAGTTTTAGAGAGAAGTATGGTTTCATGATGGAGGAAAGATTCTGATAATACACTAAGAATCTCACAAGTTGTAGGATGGATAAAAGCCAAGAAGCTCATCACCAGATGATGGAAAAGAGTAACAGCTGCCAAACATATTGACAAATAAGTAATGGACAGACTAGATGTCTTGGATAATCTTCTGTCTTTAAGATAGGAGGGATTACAGAATCCTTTTGGTGTAAGTAAAGCTGATAAAACTAAAAGGAACTGCTTCCATTAGATGGCATTTTGTTTTCTTAGAATCACAGAACTGGAAGGGACCTAGCATCATCTAAAACATCCCGACAAGTGTTTGGCTAATCTGCTCTTAAACATCTCCAATGATGATTCTAAAACCTCCCTAGGCAATTTGTTCCAGTGCTTAACCACCTTGACAGTTAGGACATTTTTCCTAATGTCCAAACTAAACCTCCCATGCTGAAATTTAAGTCCGTTGCTTCTTTTCCTATCATCAGGTATTAAGGGCAATACTTTTTCTCCCTCCTCTACCAACCTTTTAGATACTTGAAAGCTGTTATGTCCTCTCCCAATTTCTCTTTTTAAAACTAAATAAACCCAGTTTTCAATCTCTCCCCATAGGTCATCTTTTCTAGACTTATAATAATTTTTGTTGCTCTTTTCTGGACCTTTGCCAATTTGTCCGCATCTTTCCTGAAATGCCGCACCCAGAACTGAACACAGTACTCCAGTTGAGCTCTAATTAGTGTCAAGTTCAGCAGTAAAATAACATATTTAGCTTATGATCTACTCTGACCTCCAGTATTTGTTCCTAGGCAGTCCCTTCCATGTGTTCCGCTGATTCTCTCCTTCAGTACTTTGCATTTGTCCTTATTGAATGTTGTCCCATTTACTTGACCATAGATTCAGAAAGAGTTGTAAGTATATGCACAAGTAAGATGTGCAAGAGGTCAGTCTGATATTTCTAAGTGTTCTTCACTTTTAGTATGGTCAGTGCAGATATGTACTCCTGTGAGCTCTAGACACATCCTTTCCTGGGCATGGAGTCTGACTAGATGAGAAGCAGTCCTTTTCTTAAGGACTTATGAAGCTATTTATCCTGCTTCTCATCAGGACATTTACTCATACTCGAAAACAATGTTTGGTAAAAATCCCAAGAAATGACCAATAGTGAAATCTAGAGAAATCTGATAATAAAATGCTTCTATCATGCTATAAAGTTGCTTAAGTAGGAAACGATGAGTTCCATCAGCTATAATTACAGCTATAATATTCACTGGGGTTTCTGAGAGAGGGAATGCAAATCCTCTGCAACTCATTTGAGCTCCAGACTTGCACTTCTCAAGGAGAACTTATTGATATGTAGTTCAGTGTATCTTTACTTTCAGATTTCTCTTCTCTCACGATTATATGCAATCTTCAGCACTATTTTCTAGAAAAGCACTGAGCAGCTACTTTGGTCTCACAGATAACATTTTCCCAATTAAATACAGCAGAAACATCAAGTTCAGCATTTGGTTGCATCAGCAACTTTTGTTAAGTACATTTTTAGAACATGCCTGTTTAAGAGATATATCAGGTCTCTGCTAATTTCTTTTGTTAACTTCTCTTATTGAATATATCCACTACAATGTCATTCACAAGGAATCTATAATGTGAAATTTGCATAATGAAAAAAAATCTGATTTTGTGTGCAATAAATTTACTTCAACATGGAATCCCATGCTAAGACATCTTTTGATTAACTGGTGAAGAAGCTTAATTCTTTCTGAATGCTAACTGGAAAAAAAAATCTATTAGAACAATTGACACTGTCAAGTTTAGAAAACTTGTTTAAAGTTATTTAGCATATTACCAGTACCTTAGAATTAAAAGTATAATTTTTAAAAATATCTGTACCCTCCACACCATATATCATGTTTATGCTTTACGTTTCATTCATTATAGACATATTGAAGCATTCCGTTTCATCTTTTTTTTGTAGTCCACTTCATTTTCTGGTTATGGTGCATACAATGATTTGATACTGGGATTGCAAATACTTCAGTGGGATGTTTTAAAAACCCCACTATTTTCAGCAAAATAACATGCCATGGTTACTGCAACTTACATTTTGCACCTGAACTACCTGTAAAATAATCCAAAAGTGTTTAGCTGATAGCTACTTTTAAACACACCACTGCCTAGAGAAAGCATTTCTTCCAAATTTCAGAATAACTACTTCCAAAGTGTTTTACAATCAAGGTGATATCAAATACCTTTTTATTATATTGAGAATCACAATTTCAAATTTAGGTCATACAAAGAGGAAAATAAAGTCAATGAATGGATGTTAAAATATTTCTAGTTAGCCACTATTTTTTTTAAAGAATGGTTTTACAGGACAATTAAAGTTGTCTGGGTACCTTAACTATGCTTTTTCTTTCTTAACATATTTGGATTTTTAAAATTTCATCTTAAGTCTCAATTTTCTGGACTTATAATACTTGTTTGTGAGGTAATTACAAAACTCCTGTAATATATTTAAAGCTTAAATTAGTTACCCGTATATACTCGAGTATAAGCCGACCCGAATATAAGCCGAGGAACCTAATTTTACCACAAAGAACTGGGAAAAAATATTGACTCGAGTATAAGCCTAGGGTAGGAAATGAGGCAGCTACTGGTAAATGTAAAAAATGAAGATAGATACCAATAAAATTACATGAATATTTATTTCAAAGAAAAACAATAACCTAGCTCTGTAAGTGGAAAAGGGGGGTCAACAAAAACAATATGGTATCAAAAATACCGTAACTTTAAAAGTACAACAACCTTAGCTCAATCAGCAACCAAGCTCAATCAGCTCCCCATAGCTCTTTTCCTCAGGTGTCCCGGCTTCCTAGCTGTTTTCGTGTTTTTAGCTGAGGGAAACTTGCAGATGGCAACTCCCTCTCCACATATACCATTCCCCCGACACAGAGGATAAAATATTTCCACAATCCCTGGGCAGATCCTGCTTTCCATAAGGATTTTATCCTTTCCATTCAGACCCCTTACACCTTATCTCTTCTCTTCAGCCTGCGCCGAGCTGCGCTTCTGCCTCCGGACCCGCCCCCTGCCCACAGCACAGTGACAAGCCAATCACTGGCAGTCACTGTGCAGCCAACAAGCCTATGTATGTGCGCTGTTCATCGCACATACATAGAGCTTTCAGACCTCAGAAATTGACACGAGATACTTTGATGATGAATTTACAGCGCAGTCCATAACAATAACACCTCCTGACAGATACGACAACCTGGATGCCTTAGAACCTGACCAGAGTACACACTTTCCTCAGTTCTCGAGACGCTGACTCGAGTATAAGCCGAGGGGGGGTATTTTTCAGCACAAAAAATGTGCTGAAAAACTCAGCTTATACTCGAGTATATACGGTATATGTATTCTCAACTTTAACTCCATTTTAAATGTTGGTCTTAGAATAGAATCCCAAAATCTTAGTTCCTTCAATATTCTGCTGCTGTTCATCAGAACAACAAGTAAGTTAATGGCAAAGTGAATCATGACCATCTCTACCAACCAGTCCAAACTGGCAGGCCGAACCCAATCACCCCATTTGAAAAAATAAGCCTAAGAAAATTCCATGACAAAAAATGTATCTGAAAAAAATTAAAATCACAAGAAGCAGAAAGAAATCTATTGCATGTCTGAAATTATTTTCAAGTGCAGACATCAGTAAAAATACTTGATGACAATAACTTCATATTGACCTAGTTATAATGCACCACTCAATTAAGTTATTATAGTCTTCCTTGCCATTTCCTCTCCTTGAAGTCTTTAAGAAAGTTATAGTATTTATCTCTATACTCTTATTTCTCATGTGATAGTGCTATTCAAACATCAGGCAGTTAAAAAAATAGCATGTTAACAAAAGCAGTGTAGAAACACGTGTGTATCTGCCAATGGATATACAATAGCAGAACAAAATCTCACACTGTTCCTAGAACAAAAATAATAAAGGTTGGAACAGGAGTAATAAGAACAGAAACATGTATTTCCAACAAGATAACTCTGGGTAACAACCAACATAGGGAAGTACAAATAGATGAAATTTACAGAAAATAAGAAATCCCTTACTTGTGAGAGGTTCTCTTCTTCATCATGCTGGCAGATACTCCTGCATGCCCTATAACAGAAATGAATGAGATATTATGTTCATGCAGAGTGCTAAGAAAGGCTGCTGTTTTGAATGCCAAGACGTAGATGAAGTGCTGTAATTATATAGGGAGTTAAATACCTAAACGTAATATAAACAAGAATATAAGTATCCTGACTTAAAATTTTTAAAATATTTTAGGAGATAAACTTGAAATTAGAAGTGTACTTAATGCAACTCAGATGTCAGATGAAAACATTCTACAGGGGGAAAAAAAAAAAAAACCTAAACAGCACAAAGTTTAAAAAACATCTCAATATTTTGTTACCCCTCATTTAGGTAATGAGAGTATTGACAGGAAAACTTTGTCTTGTGGGTTAGAATTAACTGTATTAATTTTGCCACGTAAGCATTGTTAAATGATGAATGTGAATGAAAAGATAATAAAATGTTGTATGCCTTAACTAAACATATGCCAATTCAAAATACAGAAGACTGTAGTAAGACATCCCCCCCTTAACAAACCTTGCACCCACTTCTCCTTTTCCGTCAGTGTTCCCTGTATTTCTTGTCTGGTCATTCATGAAATTGGTTTTCAAAGCTTTTCTGATGTGCAGTGCCCCTTAATGTGCTCTCCTTATTACCCTTGTGTATGGCTGCTCATCATAAGCAGCAGGGCAAAGCAATTTGCAAAAGTTCCATGAAAGTGGCCTTCTGCATGCACAAGTTTTGCAACCACTGGTCATTATTCCATAACTGCATAACTATGTTGTCCTACCAGTTTGTGCTTGCCTCTCGGGACCAGAATTGGTGTTTCCATTCTGTCAACCCTAACCTTGCCAGAAACTTTCCCCTTTACTCTTACATATGTTATGCAGCACACAGCAAGTGGCAACAACAGGAATATTGCTTTTGCTAAGATCTAACCTAGACAAACTGCAAAAGTGTCCCTTTAAATGGCCAAAGACACATTCTATGACCATTGTACACTTGCTCAGCCTGTGTAGTTGAAGTGCTCCTTACTGCCATCCAAGTTGCCTGTGTACAGTTTCATGAGCCATGGGAACAAGGGGTAAGGCTGGGTCTCCAAGGATAACTATTGGCATTTCAATATCTTCAATGGCCATTTTCCAGTCTGGGAAAAAAAATTGTCTTGCAACTTTCTGAAGAGATTAGTTGCTAAAGATGCCTGCATTATGCACTTTCTTGACCATCCCATGCTGATGTTGGAGAAATGGCTCTTGTGATCCACCAGCTCCTGTAACACCATTAAGTACCACCTCGTGTGGTTTATGTATTCTTTGGCAAGGTGGTCTGGTGCCAAAAGAGGGATATGCATTCCATCTATTGCCTCGCCACAGTTAAGGAACCCACACACACTGTGGCAAAGCCATCCATTATCTCCTGCACATTCCTCAATCACTATCCGTCCTAGAAGGATATTGATTGCCCTGTCTACTTGCATTACAACAGATGCCACTGTAGATTTATCCACTCTGAACTGATTCCTGACTGACTGGTAGCAGTCTGGCTTTGAAAGCTCCCACAGGTCTATCACCACTCCTCAACACTCAGAACAGGTCTCATTCTGGTACTGTTGCACTTCAACGGATGGGGCGGAGGATCAATTTGCAAAAGTTCAATGAAAGTGGCCTTATGCATGCACAAGTTTTGCAGTCACTGATCACCTTCCCAAAGCTGCATAACTATGCAGTCCCACCAGTTTGTGCTTGTCTTCTGGGTCCAAAATCAGTGTTTCACTCTGTCAACAGGTACAACTGCTTAATTCAGTGAGTTCCTGCACATATGTGGGGCATTGCTGGCATTAGTGCCATGTATATTGGCCAAACTGGACAGTTTCTACAGGAAAGAATTAATGCACACAAATCAGATATTCAAAAAGGCAACACACAGAAACCTGTTGGAGAACACTTTAACCTGCGCAGGCACTCATTAATGGATCTCAAAGTCACTGTTGTTTCAAGCCAATTCCACAAGCTAAATACACAGGGAAGGGTTGGAACTTAAATTCATTTACAAGTTTGATTCTTATCGGAGAGAAATGAATAAAGATATTTATTGGCTAGCTCACCCACTACCTTCCACATCCTCATGACTTAACTAACCAACCAACCAAACAATGGGTAATTGTAGAGGTGCAAATTGTTATCAGCTTCATGTAACTTGAACAATCCCATTTGCTTTTCCCCCCCCCCCTTTTTCCTTCCCGCTCCCCCCCACTGCCATCCCTTATTTATTCTTGCATCTGGACTTCTCATATTCTAGTCGTCTGAAGTGGGATGTACCCATGGCTCATGAAACTGTACCAGTTACATGTTTTATTAGTCTCTACGGTACTGCCAGACTATTAGTTGCTTTTTAGTTTTTCTAGTTCCAGACCAACTCGGCTACCCCTCTGAAGCTTTTGAGTTAGGTGAGTTACACTTGCTAAAGTAATTAATCTTAACTAGCAAAATACATCATGAGTTGTGCTAGCATTTTGTAGAGTTTTATATTGTGGCTTAACAGCCAATTATTTGGGGGAGAAAAACATTTGTAACTACTCTGCTTACATTTCTCTCCCCCCATTATAAATAGAGACTACAATCATCATACATCTAAAGAATCCACTAGCTGTAGCTAAAAGATTCAATACTAATAATCCTTACAGACATATTACCTCAATGCAAAGTGATTTGCAACCACATTCTCAAACCTTTAGAAAGGTGATATTTGACTTTCTTCCCCTAGAATTCTGTGATTCTATAAACACTACAGGAACAAGGTTTTTTTACATGTAAGATGAGAATTGCTTCCACTGGAGAAATATATGGATGAAGTTCTATGGGCTGTGATTAGTTGATTATATAGTGATCCTTTTTACATTGAAAATTATAATGTGTATTTTCTTAAAAACTACTGTAGCATACTAATAAATTGAGCAATTAGCAAATATTGACTATATTCATTAAAATTGGCATCTACTGGCTGAAGCCATTTTGATTTAAAAAAACAAAGGACCTGACTTATGATCTTGACAGTGTGAAAGACAACGTATGAGTTTTCAACCTACCATATCAGCTTATTAAAGAATTGTATGCTAGTGCTAACCTATGGTGCTTTTGTCAGTTTTAGTGGAGAATTGTCTGAGTTTGTGGTTGCCAGGTTGTATGAGTAGTTTATTTCTGTATAATTTATTTTCTCTTTTTCACTAGTGTATTCTATTCCTACCAAACTCTCTCCTCCTCCCCGTTTTTCCCCTCTACTCATTGTCACTTCACTACAGCTACCGGATTGACATATTTATTTACTGGAAAACATGAAATTTTTCCTAGAGAACTAGACATTATTTTTCTTTAAACTGATTTATTCCTCATCAGAAAACATGACATTTTTCCTGGAGAACTAGACATTTTTCTTTAAACTGATTTATTCCTCATCTTCTTCTTTTTGTCCTTCATTTCTCCTGGCTTTGGAAATATTTTCTAAGGTGATGAGTACCTGGGAAACTTTCTGAGGTCATTGTTAGGATTGCAAATCATTGCACAAAGGCTGTTTCCAATGTGCATATATATTAGCATGGCTAACTATGTTCGTGCAGTGCTAATACTCTCAAGCATCTAGAAAATTAACATTGCTGTTTCAAAATTCAAAGTATTTTTGTATAGGTAATACGTTTAGTTTTTTCCCAGTTGGGTGGGGGGGGGGGAGACAATGATAATTGTAAGCAATAGTCTCAGAAATGGCAGTTAAATATATATATATTTTTAAATAGCTGCTATCAGTATAGACAAAGGGCATTCTCTTCCCAAGATGGCAGGAAGAGGTAAGTCAGTCAAGATACAGAAGGATTCACCTAATTTTGAATAACTTTTGGATGTCGATGTGAAATGCCTTAAAGGACCGAATTTTCCGAGAGTCTCCTTCTGAGAGTTGGGGACTTCAGGGATTTAAGAATTGGGACACTTAAAATCAATGCTGATTTAAAAAATGTAGGTCTTCCTGTTTGGTTGCAACAAACCCCGCTGCCAGCTTTGTCCACATATTCACTCTGCTGACACCATTATTGGGCCTAACCAAGTGAGTTATAAGATCAAGAATACATATTCCTGCGCCTCCAGAAATATAATCTATGCTATCATGTGCCGAAAGTGTCCGTCTGCTATGTACATTGGACAAACGTCTCAGACACTTCGCCAAAGAATCAATGCCCACAAAACAGACATTAGACAGGATCACAAAGAAAAAACAGTTGCTTGCCATTTCAACCAGAAAGGACACTGTCTGAATGACCTGCTAACCTGCATCCTACTTCAGAAGACATTCCAATCTGCACTTGAAAGGGAATCCTCTGAACTGGCATTCATGCTAAAATTTGACACTCTCCGCACGGGAATTAACAAAGACTCCAACTATCTTACCCATTACAAAGATAGCTTCCCCAATTATCACCTCTAATACCATTAACTCACAGGCATTCACCTTCCTTCCCTCCCTCCCCCTCCCCCCCCCTACATCCCCCTTCTGTTCTGTAATGTGATTTGTCCTTTTCATGTGTGTTCATTTTTTTTAAATTGTATCCTTTGGTATATATGGTTGTGACTATTTTCTTCCATTATTTGATCTGAGGAAGTGGGTCTGGCACACGAAAGCTCATCATCTAATAAACCATCTTGTTAGTCTTTAAAGTGCTACATAGACCTGTATTTTGTTTAAGCTGATTTTCAGTGGCACATGGGCGGGAGCTCAGCCCTGCTGCTCCTCCCTGTGCTGCCATGTGAGCCTTTTGGTTGTTGTGCAGCTGCAGCACAGCTGCAGCAGCGGGGGGGCGTGTGTGTGTGTGTGTGTGGGGGGGGAAGTTGGCAGGAAGAAGGGGAGGCCAGGCAGAAAGGCTGCAGACTTGGGCTGTGCATGAGCAGCCAGTGCTCTCCCCCTTCTCTGCCCAACTCCATTGCAGCAGTAAGCTGCTGCTGCTGGTGGTGGTAGGCGTGTGTGGGCTCAGCAGGCCAAGCTCTCCCAGCAGCTGAGGC